GGAGTTGGGGAGGCTGGGGCCACATGCCACCCATCTTGCCCACACTCCAGTGTCAGCACTGCCCATTACTTGCCTTCCCGGTGTAGCGGTGGCTACCACCATTCCTGTGTTTTTCTGGGGCTGGGGTACTAGCCTGGGGCAGGGACAGGGGCTCCAGCAGGGCTTCAGGCACAAGGGACGGGGTTGGGGGCTAGCCTCCCCAGGGATGTTAAATATCGGTTAATTGTATAGTCACGTAACCTCATGAATTCTTATCCGTTAGTCGACTTTAGAATAGTCCCCAGGGGCCAGAACTGAGCCAAGCTGTCTGCCTCCAAATACACTTTCAATGCAGAGCCACAGCAGAAGTAGGTTCTAGACCCACCACTCTGTGGTCCCCAGGCAAATGCCTTATCCCCTAAGCCACTGCAGAACCCAGCCTGTGTCCCTTATCCTGCCTTCCTAGTATGGGAGCCAGCTCCATCCCTGGGGCAGCCTGTGTTGACTGTCCAGCTGCTCCTCCCAGGGTGGGTGGGACTCAAGCCTCACCCTGTGCTCCCCTGGTGAATGCCCTATCCACTCCAGAAGCCACCCCACCTCCCTACCTTCAGTGAGCCACAACTCAGCTGGGCTGCTGGCCAGCCTGCTAAAACATTTACTGGCAAGGGTCAGGGGAGGGAAATGCCTGTAGTCTGTAGCATTAACCTATAAGCTTTTGTTTATCGGTTAATCGGTTAATCAACTCACTATACTATTACCTTCCAAGCCTCCCCAAGCCAACGGTTCACACACTGCCAATGCTAATCCATCTGTTCTACCTTGTATTTAGCTGTGATACTCTGAGTCAATTCCCCAGACTTGAGAAAGAGCCCTGTGTAAGCTTGGACTATGCAGCACTTTAGAGACTAACAAGACGGTTTATTAGGTGATGAGCTTTCGTGGGCCAGACCCACTTCCTCAGATCAAATTGTGGAAGAACATTGGCATGACCATATATACAATCAAAAAAAAAGTGAACACATATAAAATTGACAAATCAGATTACAGAACAGAGGGAGTGTGGGGGGGAGGTTAGTGTCTATGAGATAACGATATTAGAGGTGATAATTGGGGAAGCTATCTTTGTAATGGGTAAGGTAGTTAGCATCTTTGTTAAGGCCCATTCGTAAAGTGTCAAATTTAAGCATGAATGAGGTTTCCCAGACTAACAGGGCTACATCTCTATTACTGTGTAAGCTTGTCTGTCTCACCAATAGCAGTCAGCCCAGTCAAAGATACTACCTCACCCACCTTGTCTCACTTTCCATTGAAACTATTTACAGTTGTCAGAGGAAATGAACAAAGTATGGTGCCTACAATATGATGAAATAGGCTCTTTTTTATTGAGGTTGTTCATTTATTTGAAAAATTCAGTCATTGACAATGGGTCTCCTAGTTCTTTAAGAATCAGTCAGATTCAATGGTAACTATCTAGTTAAGAAAGTAAGAACGGCCACAGGGGGTCAGACCAAAGGTCCATTTAGGTCAGTATCCTGTCTGCTGACAGTGGCCAATACCAGCTGCCCCAGAAGGAATGAACAGAACAGGGAATCATCAAGTGATCCCTCCCCTGTTGCTCATTCCCAGCTTGACAAACAGAGGCTAGGGACACCATGCCTGCCCATCCTGGCTAATACCCATTAACAGGGCTCGCCAAGAGGCGGCGAGCCCCGCTTGCCAGCCGCGCGGTTCTGCGCTCTGTGCACGCGCAGATCGTTCTGCGCCGGCTCTTCCAGGTTGTAATCTACTCGCCACAGGCGAGTAGATGACATTATTTGTCAAGCCCTGCCCATTAATACCCTTTCAGTTTAACTTCTGTGCCAGGAAAGATAAAGGAACAAGTAACTAAGGAATTCATCTGCAAACACCTGGAAGAAAATAAGGTGACAAGTAACAGCAAGCATGGATTCGTAAAGAACAAATCATGTCAAACCAATCTGATAGCTTTCTTTGAAAGGATAACGAGTCTTGTGGATAAGGGAGAAGTGGTGGATGTAGTATACCTAGACTTTAGTAAGGCATTTGATATGGTCTCGCATGATCTTCTTATCAATAAACTAGTCAAATACAACTTAGATGGGGCTACTATAAGGTGGGTGCATAACTGTCTGAATAACCGTTCTCAGAGAATAGTTATTAACGGTTCACAGTCCTGCTGGAAGGGCATAACAAGTGGGGTTCCTCAGGGGTCTGTTTTGGTACTGGTTCTGTTCAATGTCTTCATCAATGATTTAGATATTGGCTTAGAGAGTACGCTTATTAAGTTTGCAGATGATACAAAGCTAGGTGGGGTTGCAAATGCTTTGGAGCAGAGGGTCATAATTCAAAATGATCTGGACAAACTGGAGAAATGGTCTGAGGTACATAGGATGAAGTTTAATAAGGACAAATGCAAAGCACTTAGGAAGGAACAATCAGTTTCACACATACAGAGGAGAAGCAACTGTCTAGGAAGGAGTACGGCAGAAAGGGATCTAGGGGTTATAGTGGACCACAAGCTAAATATGAGTCAACAGTATGATGCTGTGACAAAAGTAGCAAATATGATTCTGGGATGAATTAACAGGAGTGTTTTGAGCAAGACACAAGAAGACATTCTTCCACTCTACTCTTCACTGATTAGGCCTCAATTGGAGTAGTGTGTCCAGTTCTGGGCACCACTTTTCAAGAAAGATGTGAGGAAACTGGAGAAGGTCCAGAGAAGAGCAACAAGAATGACTAAAGGTCTAGAGAACATGACCTATGAAGGAAGACTGAAAAAACTGGGCTTGTTTAGTTTGGAAAGGAGAAGACTGAAAGGGGACATGATAGCAGTTTTCAGGTATCTAAAAGGGTGTCACAAGGAAGAGAGAGAAAAATTGTTCTCCTGGGCCTCTAAGCATAGGACAAGAAGCAATGGGCTTAAACTGCAGCAAGGGAGGTTTAGGTTGGACATTAGGAAAAACTTCCTGTCAGGGTGGTTAAACACTGGAATAAGTTGCCTAGGGAGGATATGGAAACTCCATCTCTGGAGATATTTAAGAGCAGGTTAGATAGACATCTATCAAGTATAGATCAGTGTTTCTCAAACTGTGCTACGCGAGGTTGACAAACTGGAAACATCAATAGGTACAACACATAGAATCAGTGGACCGCTGGGGCTCCATATACACTTGTATGCATATAAAGGGCTCTGGAGCCCAAAAAGTTTGAGAACCGCTGGTCTAGATGGTACTGGGTGCTGCCATGAGGGCTGGGAACAGGACTTGATGACCTCTTGAAGTCCTTTCCAGCTCTAGTGTTCTATGATTCTATGGAACTATCCTCCATTAATTTATCTAGCTCTTTTTTGAATCCTGATAAAATCCTGGCCTTCACAACATCCTCTGGCAAGGAGTTCCACAGGTTAACTGAATGTTGTGTGAAGAAATACTTCTTTTTGTTTGTTTTAAACCTGCTACCTATTAATTTCATTTGGTGAACCCCAGGTCTTATGGGAACAAGTAAGAGTTTTCAGAACTCAGATTTTTTCCACTATTAATTACAACCTCTGATTAATGGTTAATTTCACTGCACTCCAGGCTCAGGTATTCATCTCCATTCTTGTGGGTGCAGAAATGCAGATCCAAAGTTTAAATCCTCTTATTCTCTAGCCCTGTTAAGTCTGTGTCCCAAACACCAACATCTATTCTGTTTTTATTTTTTGTAGTTGTTGTTGTTTTTTGGTAACACTCTCTTGAAATGATTGTAATTTGCAAACCAAGAGGGGGAGCTAGCTGCATCTGAAACAGAATCCAGCCCCCGCCCCCCAGAAGCCTAAAAAGACACAGGACGCTGGCACGCCCCCTTCCTCCCCCAAGTTCAAACGTAGGGTAATCCCGACTAACGGGAAATGCGAAATTACCCACACCCCGAGTTCAAGAGCTTCAGTACTGTATTCCTGCCATGGTTAAAAGCTTCTGGCTGGCTTCCCTTCTTTCCTGCCAGTGTTGATAGGCAGCCCATTATTTCGCCCTTCCAAGACTCTTTAAAAAGACTAGCATCAGCAGAATTGCCTGCTGCTTTGCATGCATGGAACACGCTCAGGTAATTTGCTCACACTCTGGCTTCTGAATATTACCTGCCCCCCCTTCCTTCTGAAAAATTAATTGCACCTTTCCTTCCTGGCTTCCCTTCTTTCCTGCCAGTGTTGATAGGCAGCCCATTATTTCGCCCTTCCAAGACTCTTTAAAAAGACTAGCATCAGCAGAATTGCCTGCTGCTTTGCATGCATGGAACACGCTCAGGTAATTTGCTCACACTCTGGCTTCTGAATATTACCTGCCCCCCCTTCCTTCTGAAAAATTAATTGCACCTTTCCTTCCAC